AATGGATTCCTGGGTGCTGGAGCCATCCGTCCAGGGAAAACCATTCAAGGGTCCCAGGGATTGGCCAAGGGCTGGCAGGAGAGACAGGGGCCCAGGAGTGCTCTGAGCAGGAATAGGGGAGCCCTGGTTCAGGGGTGGGGGTGGGAGGGCAAAGATGGGACTTAGGGGTGTGCTTTTGCCTCTGCATGGTGGATTCTGCCCCAGCCATACGTACTCTGCGCGCTGCGCTGTGGTGAGAAAGACCTTTTTTGATCCCTAGAGGTTTCCTCAGGGAACTGTTGGGTTGCTGCGCCATAACATCCTGCGGCAGGCAGGATTGAGTCCCACCACCCCACCCAGCTGCACCCCCCAACACCTCCCTGCCCTCCTTGCATGGGGTGGGGCACCCCGTGGGTGAGGGATAGCGGGAGCCCAGGGTGGGGCTGTGGGGATGTAGAAGAGGCGAGGGCTGTGGATGTACCCTAGGGAGGACGGAGGAGAGATCCCCCACCTCAGTCCCAGGATGGGGGATTTGGAAATACAGTATCTTGGAAAAGACCTTGGCTCATCTGACTGGATCAGGATGTCTGAACGCGGTTTGGTGGAATGGGGATGGATGGGGAATTCTTCCACAGCAAGAACTGAGGGGCACCAGATGAAATAGGCAGGTGCAAAACACGCAGGACAAGGCAGTTCTTTGTGGGAAGCGTAGCTGAGCTGCGGAGCTGCTGCAGGGGTGGTGGGTGCTAAACCTCTATTGGGGTCCCAGCACCATTAGACAAAATAATGGCAGGAAAAGCACCAGGAGGATGAAATGCAAAGACACTTCCTCTGCAGCAGCAAGGGCTTATGCTGCAAGGGCTGGGGTCGGGAGCAGGGATGTGCAGGGGATACTGCTTGGGAGGAAGTTTGGGGGCTTGAGGGGTCTGGGTAAGTGCAGGGCTGTTCTGCAGGGTGGCTGGGTCCCAGAGGTGGGACTGCTCATCACCCTAAGGTCCAGGGGCTCTCTCCTCTCGTGACCTCTGGCCAGACTCAGTGGACCCTGTCCTTGTGCTTCACCGTGGGCATGTCCAGGTGTGTCGGGCTCCTGTGTGTGCACAGCCTGGAACAGGGGCACCTTGGGCACCCACCAAGGGTGCTCTTTAGTGCAAGCTGCAGGTGCAATGGCCATGGCTCAGAGAGGACAGTTTTCCTCTGGAAATAAAGAACATTGGTGCCTGATTCAAAGCCACAGCAGGTCCTGCCCTATCCTGGTCTCTCCTTCCCCTATACCTGCCTGCACCTGCCAGGGGTGCAGGTCAGAGCAGCTCACCATGGAGACATCCTTGCAGGGTACAGTGCCCCTAGAGATGGGCAAGGGCTGTGCTGTGACATCAGCCCAGTTTTGAGCAGAGGTGGCAGTGGGGAATATTGGTGCTGGGATGGATTTGGGTACTGCCAAGATACCTCCTTCCTGGGGCTGCAGATGAAAGAACCAGGCCTGATCCTCACATCAAAGCAAATGAGCAGGTATTGATCCTCAGTGAGGCATGAATGAGGGCAGGAGGGACGTGGGGACCTTGGATCCAGACCCACTGCAGCCTGTATTGACCTCTGAGCTCTCCTTCCCCTGTCCAGAGGTGCAAGGGTGTCCTCTGCTCTGCTTGCTTGAGGGGCAGGATGGGGTAGGGATGCTGCAAAGGAGACAAGACCTCTCACCATCTTCTGTATCTCTAGAGCATGTAAGATACAGTGAGGTGCATCTGAGACCTGGGTCTGGGAGGGGACAACGTAGCAGGGTGTCAAGGAGATGAGGGCACATCCTGCCCCGCTCCTTGTGCCCCGAGAGGGAGCTTTAACCTCTTCGGGCCCCCGTCTTGCAGGCAGTGGGCAGATCCAGCTGTGGCAGTTCCTGCTGGAGTTGCTTTCGGACCGGGCCAACCTGAACTGCATCGCCTGGGAAGGCACAAATGGGGAGTTCAAGCTGATTGACCCCGACGAGGTGGCGCGGCGCTGGGGCGAGCGGAAGAGCAAACCCAACATGAATTATGACAAGCTGAGCCGGGCGCTGCGCTACTACTATGACAAGAACATCATGACCAAGGTCCACGGCAAGCGCTACGCCTACAAGTTCGACTTCCATGGGCTGGCGCAGGTGTGCCAGCCAGCCACCCCTGATCACACCCTCTACAAATTTCAGGGTCACTTGGCCACGCTGCCCTTCTCGGGCATCTCCAAACTCAACCTCC